GCTTTCTTTTAAACAAACAATAAGCAGAGTGGCATTGTGTAATGCCACTTTCCTAATCCTTCTGTCAATCATGTGATGGTACTGTGGGCTGTTAGTTACAAAAGCTTCTTTTTCCCTCCTGACACCCTCATCCGGAACGCCCTAGACCAGGGTTGGGGATCCTGTGGTCTCGAGGCCACACATGGCCTTCTAGGTCCTTGGGTTTGGCCTTTTGACTGAGTCCCACTTTTACAGAACAAATTATTTTTTAATTAATTAATGTATTTTGATTTATCAACAATCACTTCCATATGCTTTTGAGTTCAAAATTTTTCTCCTCCTTCCTCCCCACCACCCTCCTCAAAACGGTGCCCAATCTGATATAGGCTATATATATATATACATTCTTATTAAACATATTTTCAGATTAGTGATATTGTAAGGAAGAATTAGAACCAATAGGAGGAACCACAAGAAAGAGGAAACAAGACAAAACAGAAGTAAAAAAAGAGCAAATAGTATTCTTCGATCTGCATCCAAATTCCATAGTTCTCTCTTTGGATGTGGATAGCATTTTTCATCACGAGGCCTTTGGAGATGTCTTTGATCCTTGTATTACTGGGAAGGGCTAAGTTTATCAATATTAGTCATTGCACAACATGGCTGTTATTGTGTACAATGTTCTCTTGGTTCTGCTCACTTCACTCAGCATCAGACCATACAAGTCTTTCCAGGTTTTTCTGAAGTCAGCCTGTTCATCATTTCTTATAGCACAATAGTATTCCATTACATTCATATACCATGACTTGTTCAGTCATTCCCCAACTGATGGGCATCCTGTTAGTTTCCAATTCTTTGCCACCACAAAAGGAGCTGAATATTTTTGTACATGTGGGTCCTTTTCCCATTTGTATGATCTCTTTGGGATATAGCCCTAGAAGTGCTATTGCTGGGTCAAAGGGTATGCACATTTTTATAGTCCTTTGGGCATAGTTCCAAATAACAAATCTTTTTATTAAAGGGAATTTGTTCTGTGAAGTATGGATTCAAAGGGTCACACTTGAGGACCTAGAGGACCACATATGGCCTTGAGGCCGCAGATTTTCCACCCCTGCCCAAGATGTATGTGTGGATTATGTTCATTAAAATTTTACATAGATGGAAATGTAGAAAAATAAAGTAGACTTTTTTTTTTAAAGAAAGAAAAGTAGGTATAGGGGTTGGTAGTTATTGATGTTCTCTTGGTTTTCTTTTTTTGTAATAAAACCTAAACATTTTTCCCATGCATTTAATACCCCCATTTTCCCCCTCCTTTCAACAACTTGAGAACCAATTCCTAAAAATTGCATTGCCTCTGTATCTTCTTGGTTTAATTTAGATGCTTTTTTCATCCTTCAGGGCCATTTTGACTTTAATTTGGTAGAATGGAAAGAGTTCTGAACTTGGAGTCATAAGATCTGAGTTCGAATCCCAACTCTGCCACTTACTATTCATGTAAGTCACTTGACCTTTCTCAGCCTCAGTTTCCTTATCTGGAAAATGAAGAAGTTGAACTAGATGTCTTCTAGGGTTCCTTTTTAGTTCCAGATCTATGATCCCAATATCCTGTGTACCAAGTGCTGGGTATACAAAGAAAAAAAATAAAGCAATCCTTTCTCAAGAACTTCCTTCCTACTTCCTCAAAAGTACAACCAGAACTCTGATGTTTGTTTGAGTCTGTATGTTCCACTGTTCTGATGATGAAAAAGAGTGTGACATAACATATTTCTAGATCTTTTCCATTTTTATTTGTTGTCTTCCTTCTAGTTTTATTCTAAAATGCCTTCAAGGTAACTTCAAGGATCCTATGATAATTTATATCAAGCAAAGCAAGGGAAATACATTCTCTTATCTTTTTTTTTTTTTTTTTTTTTTTTTGGTGAGGCAATTGGGGTTAAGTGACTTGCCCAGAGTTACACAACTAGTAAGTGTTATGTGTCTGAGGCCAGGTTTGAACTCAGATCCTCCTGACTCTGGGCCGGTGCTCTATCCACTGTGCCACCCCATGGGAAATACATTTGCTAAAGGTGCTGTCCTCTCTCTGTCATGGAGGAAAACAAGTTCAGTTTGAAGAAGGAACACCAGAGGGTCTAAAGTCCTCCAGATGCTCCCCTGTGCCAGTAGACTTTATGCCAATTGCGTTTCAGAAATGGCAAAGTTCCTTTAAAAACCTCAAGCCTTTCTCTAAAATAAAAACCCATGTTTTAAACAATACTCTTCCTAGCTGTTGTATGGCCAGCTGTGAGTCATAAGGCTTCTAAAAAAATCAACTTGAGGGTCACTTAGAGGGCAATGAAAGAGTATTTGCAGGATGAGCATAAGTAAACTGTCCCACATTCCAAACAAGAAAATATCCAGCAGAAACAGGGTAAAGGATATCATCAAAAAAAAAAAGGGGTGATTAAAGGAAAAAAGAGAAGAAAGGATGAACATGTAAATAAGAGCTCTAATGATACCCTCAGAATGGCAAGAGAATGCAAAGAAGAATCCCAGCATGTTTGGGGGACCCCCTGTTGCAAACTAATAGAAGAATATGTGAGTTACCAGGTGTAGGAAGGCATGGATATGTAATGATCTTAAATATTGGAGAGAATGTCCATATCAAAAGAGAGTGAAATTTATTGAAGAACTATTTAAAATATATTTGTATGTGCGTGTTTATGTGTGTGTATATACATAAGGCTTTTAGGTGGCACAGTGGATAAAGTGCTTAGCTTGGAGTCAGGAAGACACCTTCCTGAGTTCAAATTTGGCCTCCTATGTTTAAGTCACTTAACCCTGTTTGCCTCAGTTTCCTCATCTGTAAAATGAGATGGAGAAGGAAATGGCAAACTACTCCAGAAAATGCCAAATGGGTTCACAAAGAATAAGACACAACTGAAAAATGACTGAACAACAAGTGTATGTATGTATTAGTGGTGTTCAGATGGCAATTGCATGAGAAATCAATTTTTTTTAATACTTTTATATCAAGTCACTTTCTAATGAAAAATCAGGAATGAGTATTTATAATCAAGCAAGCAAGATTTAAGAAGTCTCTACTATGGATGAGCCAGTCACTGTGCCAGGTACTTGGAGATACAAGTACAATAAGTTGATCCAGAGGAACATTACAGCAAGCTCCTGAGGACCATAAGGCTCCGTGGAGATTTCATTCATGTGAATTTTGGCTAATGAGAGGCAGCCTGTGCCTAGGTGAAATAGACTAACTGCTTATGGAATAGATCTTGTCATATCCAGTAACTGAGCTGAAAGATGATTAATATGTAACCAGCACAAATGTTCCCTGTCATCTGTACTCACAGAATTACACGTAGCCTTAAAGCCTTGTTTTTTTGGAAGAAAAGTGGTGAAATATATAATTCGGTCATTACTTTAGAAAGGACTTTTTAAAAAGATAAAAGGATTAAGAAATTGGTTTCAGTGCCTGACAAACTGCATAAAGAAAGGGAATATTTCCTCTATAAAATTCACTTATGGTGTACCTATTGCATAACTGTCAATCAGCTTGAAATTCAAAACATATGCTTTCTGATTCTTGCCACGTCTTTCGTTGGCTCCTGTCCCCCTTCCTCCTTTCTCTTGCATTACTTCTTTTCCTCATTTGTTTCTTTCTTTTTTGGAACACTGAATACTTCAAGTCAGACAGATTCAGTATGGCTTAGGTGGTGCAATGGGCAGAGAATTGGACCGGAAGTCAAAAAGACCTGAGTTCAAATTCTACCTCAGGTACTTACTAACTTATGACCTTGAGCAAGTCACTTAACTTCTGTCTGCCTCAGATATGTAAAATGGGGATAATAATTTGACCTACCTCCCAGGGTTGCTGTGAAGATAATATGAGATATCTGTAAAGTTCTTTGCAAACCTTCAACCTAGCTTATGTAAAGGCAATTATATATTCTAATACAATTGTACATACAATATATGCATATATTATTAGATATTATATATTATCATATTATTACTAAACTGTGTTGAAACTTTGAGCAGCCTTTCAGTTGTTCTTGTTTTTCCATTACAGATAATAGTAATGTCTTCCACATAATAGGGCTTCAAGAAATGTTTTACAAAGTCCTACATACTTTAAATCACTGATCCTCAACCCAACCTTAAGTGGTGCTCCCATTTTACATGGGACTTCTAGTTGAAGGCTCCTTTCCCTACTTTGTTTTTTCTACCCCAAGGGAGGAGATGGACTTGGAGAAATGATATGACTGGGTGTGTATGGGGATGGGCATGGCACAGAGTTGAATTTCAGTCCATTGCATATGTTTGCAGTGATCCATAGGCTCATAAGATTAAGAGTTTAAAGGACTTGGTAAAAATGGGAGAAAGAGTGTTTTCCTTGATGTGGAAGGTGATAGGGGCAATTAGTTCCAGTTCTGGGCAAAATTAGGAAATAATCCAATCTGTATTTGATACCCTTCTTCCTTAATCCCCCCTCCCCGCTTAATCTACAACCCACATCCACCCTTTACAGTAATCTGTTCTTGTGTACCAATCACCTCCCCAAGCCTTGATCTTAATCAATTCACATTTAATCCTTACTGAGGATTACCTGAAAAATAGCTTTTATTTCTTATAAGGGCCTTTTGAGGCAGCTAGGTAGCACACTGGTTAGAGTGCTGGGCCTGGAGTTGGGAAAACTCATCCTCCTGAGTTCTGATACTGTGCTAGGTAAAAAGAGAGATGTTTGGATTTAATGACAGTGCTTCCTCAAACCAAGGTCTGCTCTCAGCATAGTTCTGTTAGGAACCAAGGAAGGAAATTTAAAATTTTGTAGTCAGAGCAAAAAAGTTGACTCAATTTCGAATGTAGGTGTTATCTCAGAAGCAGGCCCTGAATTGACCAAAAATTGGACTTGGCTGCAATGAAGCAAACCCAGAGAGCAATGACCCTTTGTGAGAATCTAGGTTGTGTGGGCAGGGCTTCTTGTTTGCAGAAAGCAGTAGCATAAAACCCAGCCTATTTTGGAACAGTTCACAGTGCAAGGACGAGGCAACGAGTCAGTCTGGCCTCCCTGTCTTCTCTTTCTCAACACTATGGGGAAAGACCGGTTGCCTCATCTAGGCCTTGTCCTGTTGCTTCTCGCCTTGGTCACTGGAATCAATGGAGAACCGTAAGTTTTCTGAGAAAATCTACTTATTTACAAAGAAAAGATCCAGCCTGGAAGGGAACCAGCAAGTCACCCCCCCAGCCCTAGCCCCACCTTCAGCTTTTCCTTTTTTGCTAATAGGCCTGCACTCCAAATCTCTTCTTTGCTTTTTAGCTTTTCATTTGTATTTGCTTCTCTGGCCCTCCTGTTTATCTCTTTTCTTCCTTTTTGATTATCTATTCTTCTCACTTTTTTGAAATTATTTCCTTTTACCAAGGCCAAACTTAGACATAGGAAAAATATCTGGGGAGGGGCTTAAGGTGACTTAAAAGAGTCGGGAAAGCTCACTGCCTCCCAAATACCTCCACACTAGCCTGTCATTCTGTCTTTAGAAATTCATTCCTTTGGACTTAAGATATTGCCCCTCCAATTGCCCCCTCAGACACATATATACATACATGTATTTTGGCAAAAATTCCTTCCCCAAGGGGTTATGTAGTAAATCATGATCAATTCTTAATACCTAATAGGAAATTGCCTTTTGACAATTCCTGAGATTGAGGAAACAAGGAAATGGGAATTTTGATAGGGGTAGATTGGCAACGATATTTTGAGGGGTATTGTCTACTTCCCTGGGAGTGTAAGTCTTGGGTGGGGTAGTGTAGCTGGCAACATAAGGGGACTGGGTAGCTAGACTAGGAAGGGGAAGGTGGCAGGGCAATTAAGATACCATTTGTTGGCCAGTTTCCCGGGGCCTCCAGCCATAGTTAATTCTTGTCACTTCCCACCTTAGCCCTTTCATTCTACTTTTTCCTCTTGTCCAGGCTCCAAAGGAATATAGCCATATTCCTTTCTCCCAGCTGCAGCTATCATTTATAGTCTACCCATTTTTTCCTACATTGAGGACAAATGCAGATTAAGATGCAGCTTTATCTTTCTAAGCAACAGAAGTCCTTTTGAGAGTTCTTCACAAGTGGGACAAAAATTAGAAAAGAGCAAATGTGTGAAAAGTTGCAAAGTTATGTGGCACCATGAAAGTATTACAATATTAAGAATCCCTGCTATTCATCGGAATACTCATGGAGGTAACTTCTTCTATTAACTCTTGTCTTCCATCTTGTCTTGAAAGGCAATCACTGATACCTGAGCCTGGTTCTTCAGCTCCTCCCTCACCTGTCCTTTCCCTATATTCTCCTCCACACCCCCAGCTTCTGTAAGGGGGAAATAATGATGACTATTTAGGTACCCAAAGAACTCCAGGCCTGGTCCCTCACTATCACCAAGTAAGGTTGTTATCAGAATCCCCATTCAATGGAGTGCAGTCCCACATGGGTTTGAGATGCCTGTGAAGACAGGAAGAAGGCACTAAATTATTTTTAAGATGTTAATAGCTATCACTTACATAGAGCTTTAAGGTTTATGATGCAGTTTATATGTATTATTTCACCAGATCTTCATAATAACCCTGTCATAAAATCAGAAAGTATCCGAGGCAAGATTCAAAATCAGGAGTTCATGACTAGTCTAGCGACTTATTCCCTACACCACCTACCTGCCAATTTAAACATGGTGCTTTTAATTCGTCACCTAGTTAGACCATTACATCTAACCTATTTTTGACTTTGAGCAAAAGGATAATAGCATTTTTACCTCCTTCATCTTTTCACACATTAGCCGTCTTGAAAGCCTCTCTCTTAACCTTTGAAAACAATTATTCCCCTTGCCAATGAACAATGAAGAAGGATCGACAATCATTGCTTTTAGCCTCAAGGCCTCAAGGCCACATGTGGCCCTCTAGGTTCTCAACTGTGGTCCTTTGACTGAGTCCAAGTTTTATGGAACAAATCCTTTTATTAAGAGGATTTGCTTTGTGAAGTGTGGATTCAGTCAGAGGGCCACACTTGAGGACCTAGAGGGCCAGGTTCCCCACTCCTGCTCTAGTCCCAACTTAGCCATAGGGCAGCTATGTAACCTAACCCTCAATTTTCTTATCTGTAAAATGGGACAAATAATTATCACATTATTATGAGGAAAGCACTTTTTAAACCTTAAAGTGCTATATGAGTTTAAGTTGTTATTACCCTGTGATCTCATATATACTATGACCCTGGCAAAACAGAGAGTAGCCTGGGGCACCATGTTTGTGGGCAGATGCCCAAAATGATGTAAAGAATTTTTGTATCATACTAGTGCAAATGATCACATCATGAAGAATATCAGCAACACTGGGGCTATACATACTTTGTTTTATGCGATAGATATATATGCCTGAGAAAGTTGTATGTGATTTGAATTTTTAAACCAAATAAAATTTTACATGCTTCATTAACTGGCATCTGAACAGTCCTTTCACTGTGTTGCTGCATTCATCCCTTATGACATTCCTGTGAGGTAAGTGTTATAGATATTAACAGTCCTATTTTTCTGACAAAGAAATTGGCACTGAGAGAGATTTTGATTTTCCGAGTGTCACGCAATGAGTATAGTGTTGGGATTTGAACTTAAATCTTTCTGACTCCTACTCAAGCATACTCTCAAGTTAGATAACTATTTTCCTGGTTGGTAAGCTATGTAAAGTTAAAAAAAAAACCACTTAATTGATTTTTGTGTGCATATAAATGTAGGTGTTAATTCTGATGTTTCCTTAAAGTGAGGTCTGTCTGTGAAATATCAATACCCCTGAAGCCTACTTTGCTTAGGATGTTATTCTCCTGACTGAGAATGATGGAGAAGGAAAGCAATTCCTTGTAGGATTTCATAGCTATCAGTTCAACTCTTCAGAGCAGACATCCTTCATAACTGTTGGTGGTAGCAGCACACAGTTGTGCTGGTAGCACAGAGCAGGCAATGACCGGTTGAACTTTTTCTCTTTCTAGTCAGTACATGGTGTTAGTTCCTTCCCTGCTTCATACTGAGATCACCGAGAAAGTGTGTCTCTTTCTGAGCCACTTGAATGAAACAGTGAATGCAAGTGCTACCTTGGAGTTCAACAGGCTTAATGGCAGTACTGTATTAAATCATCATGTGAATGACAAACAGGCATTCCTCTGCCTGCCCTTCACTGTGAGTACCCGTCATCCCATCCTGTCTGATTTACTACAGTGCCCTGGGGTTGGTGTCTGTAATGAATAGGGACTAGTCCTTCTGGAGGGGGCAGGGGACAATCTTGTTTTCTTTTCACAGGGAATGCCTTGGAAGAATGGATAGAACTGTGTTTTTAACTAAGAAGTGGGGCGGGGAAAAGAAACACCTGGCGAGAACTCCAACTTCATTCGTAATTACTGATAGTTGACACTGAGTATCTGTCACTGATCTCCGGGAAAGGTCCCATGAATCAGAAAGTTAGCACTTGTTAACATTTAGGAAGGGCTCCTCAAAATAAGATGCGGTCATTTTGCCTAGCAATTTCAAATTTAAGAACACGGTTTGCTAGCACCTGGTGTGAAAGACACACGTGGCATACATATCTGTATTATCTTGGACTCTTGACTTCTACGTGTTGACACAGGTAAAAATTGGGGTCTGAATGAACCCAGAGAGAAACATCAGAAATACTGTTCTCTCCGTCCTTGATGTACAGATACATTCTGCAGCTGCTCCCTATTGGCTGAAGGATGCTTGCACAAGATAAACATTTTTTTATGAGGTTCCAGAGTCCCTGATGGTCACTGGAGAGTGAGCATGAAGGAATGTCTAAGTTGCTTCTACCACTGTGGAAGCATTGCTTTGCCTTTGCCCCATTAGTGGCTTATCCTGGCTATCCTGAGTCTAGTTTAGAGATGGCATACTGATAAAATTTTAATATATGCCATTTACTGCATTTACATTTTGCCTCAATCCTCATTCTTTTTGGGTAAATCACTCTCTCACATCTCTTGCCTCAGGACCCATAGATTTTGATGCACAATATGCAATCACACCAGGTTTATATCATACATAGAACAAAATGAAAAAAAATAGGCAAAATAACTCTTCCACTAAAACAAGAGACAGTCACAACTGACTGCACCTCCCTGTCATACTTGCTTTTCTCTCTCTCTCTCTGACTTTGACTGCAGATGAGAAAAGTTTCTGAACACTTAAACCCATGTCTCATACAAAGTAATGGAAAGGAATGACTTTCACTCCATCTCAGTCTCAGGGATAAAGAAATGCAGGAAGGAATACAACTTCCCCTTCTGGCTCTCTAAGCTTGAGAGTGGGACTTTTTTTAGTCATTGGTAGTTTTTACAAACTCTGGGTGACACTGCCTGTGATGTCCACTCCTCCATGTTCTTGGCATTACTTGACTGATAGCAACCAGAAATCCAAATGGGAAGAAACTGTTCTAGACCCAGATGATGTCTCTAATCCTGTCATGTGCCTCTGACTCCAGCCCCTCTTCTGTTGTAAAGTGATTGATCATTGAAATTCCAGAGTGGCAATCTCATTTCCAGTGGGGGGAAGTCTCCCCCAGAATTTGCTCTGCCACGTTTCCCCTACACACTCTGTGAATCCTTTCTCTGGCTCTGTGTGTACATGAGGTATTCTTTATATAGGCACCTAAACAGGCAAGGTTCTCTCAGACTACACCAGGAATCGGAATCTTGAAATCATTATATGTATCCATTAAGGGGGAGAGATAGAGAGAGAGAGAGAGAGAGAGAGAGAGAGAGAGGGAGAGGGAGAGAGAGATAGAGATAGAGATAGGAGGTGATAATATAGTAATGTAGTGTATAATATACCAAAAAGCTCAGTGCGTTTGGAGTCAAAAGACATGGGCTTTGACTCCTGGTTCTGCTACTTATTACCTATATGACCTTGGAGATTTCATTTAAGCCTCCTGGATTTCATTTCCTTCATCGGTACAAATGAAGGGGTTATAGCACATTATCTATAAGGTCCTTTCCACCTTTAATCCATGATTTTATGTTTAAATGCACACACACACAAACACACACACACACCTCTACAAAGTTCCTATTCCAACAACTTATCATGATAGGAAGGTGACTAGATTCTTGAAGGCTCTTTCAGCAGAACAAAATTTCTGAAAGGTTTCACCATGCTGCCAAGACTTTATCTTAGCAATAGAAAATGTGTTTTCTGAAGGCCAATCTAATTACAGAGATGCTCATCATGAGTGAGCTAGTCCTACTATGGGATGACTTATTTGACTATCGCACTTCAGTCACCAAGCATTTATTAAGTGTTTACTGTGAATGGTGTGTCTTGTTTGAGGAGTAGCAAGGAAGCCATCTCATCAGATCACAGAGTATATGTAAGAAGGCTGGAAAAGAAGGAGAGGGTGAGGTTATAAAAGGCTCTAAAAGGCAAAAAGGATTTTCAATCTAATCCTGGAGGTAATAGGGAACCACTGGAATTTACAGAATGGGGGAAGGAGTGACATGGTCAGAGCTGCACTTTAAGAAGATCAGTTACAAAGCAGAGTGTAGGATGGATTTCAGAGAGGAGAAACTTGAGGCAGGGGAAACAACCAGCAGGCTATTGTAATATTATCCTAAGCTTAAGGGGATGAGGACCTGTGCCAAGGTGGTAGCAGTAGCAGAGGAGAGAACCCAGGTAACAAAGAAAACTACAAAATGGTCTGCAGGGGCAGCCCTCTTCCACTCCTTTAGTGGAGAATAGTGAAAAAGGGGTCAGAGAGGACTAAGAATTATAGTTTTTAGAATATCTATTAATACTAATTTAACTATTAATCCTGATTTGGTGAGATCCTTGTCCAATGACAAATGAATCCAAATACCATTGGAAGAACTGAATCATATATAAACATTTCTGCTATAATCGAAATAGAAGATGGGGAAGTTTCAGAGAAATAGGAGGATAGCTCACAGGTTCTTTTTGGAAGGACAAAGAAAGTAGTTGAAAGAGTTAGTTATATCATGCGCTCTATCATTTCATGGAACATTTTCTTATCTCCCCTTAAAGTGCTCATAAAGAGCATAAGAAAAAAGTCCAAGTGGAAAGAACAAAGCATCCCAAACTAAACACTATGTAATTATAGTGACCAAGCTTGGTCCCAAAGAACTGTGAACTTGTATAATCACTCTGGAAAGCATTTTAAAATTATGCTTAAAAAGTGACTAGAATATTAATGCTGACTCAGAGATCTCACTTGGGATAGGTATATACCCCAAGGAATTAGAAAATAGAAAGTAAGATCTCATATATGACAAAATATTTACAACAACACTTTTTATGGTAACAAAGAAACTGGGAACAAAGTAGGTAGTTGCCCTGCAGATAGCTAAACAAATAGTGGTCCATGAATGTAATGAAATATTCTGTATCATAAAAAATGACGAATATAAAGAATATGAAGTATGGGAACAAGGGCTGTCTACTATATATGTATGTGTATTGTATGTATATATATATATATACACACATATACCCACATGTATGTGTGTGGGGGTTTTTGTGTGCATATACATACATACATACATACATACATATGATACAGTTAATGGATGGCATAGATAGATATGATCTGGGATCTAGTCCAACGTTGCAGAAAGTAGGAAAAGGGCCATCCTTATCTTAGCAGCAGCCTAGTCAGTGGGAGTAGGAAGGAACAGGCAGGATCTAAGAACTGCTAGTCCTGGCAATCTCTCCTATCTCCAAGAGGACTAGAATTTTATCTCTCTGTAGCCCTTCAGATATCTCTAGTCTTGGGATATGATATGGTTGGAATGAAAGCCATTTATTTCCTTGATTGCTCTTAAAAAGAAGGATAACCCTTATCTTTCTTCAGCCAACTTGCTTCCTTCCCACCAAATGCTGGTCACGGGAAAGATCATCATGAATAGCAAATGTCCAGTTGACCCATTTATCCAAACCAAACTACAAGTGGAAATTGCAGATCATCATGAATAGCAAATATCTAGTTGACCCATTTATCCAAACCAAACCACAAGTGGAAATTGCAGATGTTCTACTGATTAGAATAGACCAAAGAATACACAGCAGCAAGGGAGATCTTGGGCTGGGAAGATAGCACAATAAACCAATGAGAGAGGGAATGATCTCATTAAGGGAGTGGGTGTGAGGGATACACTCTCAGCAGTCTCCATGGGTGCAAGCTCTAAAAATGGAGAGACCTAATGGGTGCTGGCGTCTTCACATGTGTAAGCAAATGCTCAAAGGTGGGAAAACACTAGATGTTTGGGGATGACTATCAGCCCAGTTTCCTGAATATGGTCTTCAGGGGTGGCAGCGGAAGAAAGTCAATAGGTCAATTAATAAACATTTATTAAGAGTGACAAAAGGTTGGATGGTAACAAAATTAAACACCATATTATGGATTACAAGCTAAGAGTATTGGACTTTATTTGGTAGACAATGGAGAGACACAGAGTAAAGAAGTAAAGAAGCAAGACAGGTATATACAGAAGAAAGGTATATGGTGAATTAAATCTTATTACTCTCAGCACAATTGGTAAAAAGGGAAAAAAATACTCCATGCCCTTACCAATCTCTAGTGAGACCAAGAGAGAAGGTAAGTTTATATTGAAGGATGAGGTCTCCAGAGTGAATGAGCAGTGTAAGTTATGAAAAACATTTGTATTTCCCAGATCCCAAGATTATCAACACTCTCGGAGGTGGCGTTCTTCACTGTGCAGGTGAAGGGTCTAACACACACATTCAGTAAACGGAAGACAGTGCTGGTGAAGAACTCAGAGAGTCTGGTCTTTGTCCAAACAGACAAGCCTATCTACAAGCCAGAACAAAAAGGTATGAAGGTTGTGAGGGTCAAGGGCACCTCCAAGAAAGGGGGAGCCTCATCCCCATTTTTTTCCTAGTGAAAATGGCAGGTTTTCTTTGCCTCTTGGGCTCCTAGGTCACTGTCTAAGGTGACTAATATAGGGATTTTGGGCCTCATAGTTGGTATTTCTTTGTTTCAGTTCAGTTTCGTATTGTCTCTGTGGATGGAAATTTTCACCCCCTAAATGAGACGGTGAGTTACCCTAACAGCCATGTAAAATTATTATGGGACCATAAAGGTGAGGGGCATGCCTCTGGGGAGCCTGAGAATAACAGCAGTGACTTCCAGCCTCATCTCAGGATAAGATTTCCAATATGAAGCATTATCAAGGGAAAAGAGGAAGAGGAAATTCCTTTCCTTATTAACCATCTGCTCTATAAATAGCCCTCTAGTAACCTCCATGGGAAACAAAGGAAGTGGTGTGATACAGGGGTAACAGTGTTGGATGTGGAATCAAAAGACCCGAGGTTAAGTCCTAGCTTCACCATTGTGTGATTTGGGACAAGGCATTTCATTTCCCTGTGCCTTGGTTTCCTCATCCATAAAATGAGATGACCACTAAAGTCCCTTCTGGCTCTAAATCTATGATCCTGATAAGTGGTTTTAGACCTTGCCAAACTTAGAATTTACTAAGTCTACAATGAATCACCTTTCTTTTGTTCGCCCTTATCTATTATCTTTTTCTCCCAGAACCAGAGAGAGTAATTGGTTTGGCTCATCAAATTTCCTTCTGATAGTTAAAGTAGTATGCAAGGTAAATAAATCCTCTTGATGGGAGAGTGAATATTGGATAAAGTCAGAAGGTGTCTTTCCTGTTCATCTCCCTCATAGGAGGAGTTAAGGATATTGTCATTCTTTAGAATCAGTGATAGAGGTCTTCAGGAATCTATTTCCCAGCTTGTAAAAGGGCATAGTTTGGTGATGACTTTGACAAGAGGATTATAATCACTAACTTAGTGTTAGGAAATCTCAAATCCTAAATGAATGAGAATGCATAGGTATGTATAAACACGTCATCTTTGTCATCATCATAGCTAACATTTTTATGGTCCCTACCATGTGCCAGGTAGGCACATGGTAGGTTTTTTTGAGGATCAATTGAGCTAAATGCTTTGTTTAGCTTTACAAATATTATCTCAATTGATCCTCAAAAAACCCTGAGAAGATTGGTACTATTATTATCCCCATTTTACAGTTGAAGAAATTGAGGCAAACAGAGGTTAAGTGACTTGCCCAAGGTCACACAACTAGTAAGTGTCTGAGGTCACATTTGAACTTAGGTCTTCCTGACTCCAGGCCCAGTCTCAGTGCACTATGGCACCATCTGGTTGCCCTATAAGCATCTGTATGTTTGCATACATACACATAATAATAGTTTTGAGAAGCTTCTACCCAGAATGCAGTCTACTGCAGATATAACCACGTAAAGTTGTTTGTAGATTTGTCTGAATTTTCTGTCCTAAGAAACAATTTTTGACTCATGTTTTTAATTTTTTTTCCCTTCTAGTTTCCACTGGTGTACGTTGAGGTAAGTAGAAAGAAGCATTTCAAACCTGGGGGAATCAGTAAATACAGGGCCCCTCCCATGACATCTCAGATATAGGAGCTAGTATGAGAAACCTTCATCCTAAACTTCTTCCTATTCCCAGAGCTTCAATATATTGCAGCCCATTGCTTCCTTTCCCACCTTAAAAGAAAGCAGTGCTAAAGACCCTTCAAAAAGTCATAGGGGTCCTCACATTTCTACTCCTTCTCCTATAGCTTTTCTGTTCCTTTGGAAACCGTTCTAATCTTTTCTTCTTATAGGACCCCCAAAACAATCGTATCATGCAGTGGCAGAACCTCCAGCTGGAGGGAGGTCTCAAGCAGCTCTCCTTCGACCTCTCATCAGAACCCCTCCTTGGCTCTTACAGGGTGGTTGTACAGAAGGAATTAGGAAGAAAGAATGAACACTCCTTTAAGGTGGATGAATTTGGTATGGACCCAGGACTGGAGGGGAGGACGTTTTGAACTTGGTTCTAGGATTTTAGGTCATTTAGATTTTTACCATTTTCCACAGGCTAGGGTGGGCTGGGAGGCAAATTCACTGTATTTCATTCCAGTCAGGATCATCACTAGGGTATGAACTGATGTTGTGTGAAAATGGTGTGAAAATTCCATAGCAAAAGATTCATTCAAGACCCATTTATTAAGCACTTACTATGTATAGAGTACTGTGCTAGGAAAGATACATAAATAATTAATGCATGATCCCTATTTTGAAGGAGCTTATAAACCGTAGCCTTGGGTTCCCCTTACCCTTCATCTACTTTCTCTGATCCTGCTTGCCTTCTGCTGAAAACCACTGGAGGAAACTGCACAACTGTGCTGACTGGGTCTATGACAAATTTATGCTATCCAATGGCAATGGCGCCTTCACTTCTGCCCTTCAATCTTTTGATTCTTTCTTACTCAACTCTGTGTTATGCTCCCTACAGCAGCTGTTCTCAACTTTCTCTTCTCTCCTCAAACCCCCCTCCTTTCCTTCTCATAAGGAGCCTCATATCTCCATGAAAAACTTGGAACCCTCAAGTCCAAGCTCCCTCTCCTCCTCAATTTCACATTTCAAACCAACTCAATGGTGCCATGTATTCTCTCTTCTTTTGCTCTAGACCTGGAGGAAGAGATGATATTTCTTAACCACTCCTCTACTTGAAACCCACTTCATTCTCTGTGAACTTACAAATTCTCCCCCTATTAGTAGAATTATTTCATTTCCTGCTAGAGCTGTTAGGATCTGTCCAGGACATTTCATTAGTTAGATCTCTGAGGGCCCAAGTTGATATCTGTGAATAAATCAGACCCTTTGGGACATCCAGTTTCTGTTTGAAGACTATTAAGATGTTATCTCGGGCACTCTTGTAGAGAGGTTCAAACAAAATGTTAGATTGTCATGCTTTCCATATTTTCCCAACAGTACTGCCCAAGTTTGAGGTGCAGGTCAAGGTGCCAGATAAAATCACTATCTTGGATGAAGAATTTACAGTGTTGGTCTGTGGGCGGTGAGTAGGTCGTATTTTCTTCTCTAGGTTGAACCTAAGTAAAAGGAAATTCTCTCTAACAGAATGGAAAATTTTGCATGGTTTCTCTTAATACCAGAACAAGTTGCTAATGGGTATAAGCCATCCACTGTCCTGTAGAGCTTTTTCCTGCCACTTCTCCATCTCTTGCCTCACTAGAAGTTGAATGCCTTCCTACTTCAAAGCTGAGGGGTGATCTTGACAGTGACAGCCACAAGCATTCTACTGGTAGCAGAGATCATAGATAGAATTTATAAATTGTTTCTTTTGAAGTACCAAGGTCATAACAAAACCCCTTCTCTAGTTCTGTCTCAGTAATGGCCAGGGAATTCTCTGACCTGCTATAGATATGATGATCTTTAAAGAGAGAAGCCAGAGAGAAATCAGAGCAAGGAACTAGGATCCTATAGTTAGGTATCAGGGAGATATAAATAGAAAAGGGCTTGGGGAGAGTTAACACCCTGAAAATAGAATGAATATCACTAAAAGCAAGCCAAAGAAAAAATAGGGAAGAATTCAAAGAAAACAGAGATGGAGGGACTGCGAAAGCAGGGATGGAGGGAAAGACTGGGTTTCAGAAGGTTCATTGAGATATATTTCTTTTTTTTTTTAAGCAGTTGGGGTTAAGTGACTTGCCCAGGGTCACACAACTAGTAAGTGTCAAGTATCTGATCTGAGGCTGGATTTGAACTCAGGTCCTCCTGAATCCAGGGAGGGTACTCTATCCACTGAGCCACCTAGCTGCCCCAGATTTATTTCTTTAATTAAAAAAAGAAATCATTCATTATGATTTTAACTGTTGATAAGAGCAAAACAAATTCATATTTATTACTAATTAAAATATTTTAAATGACCTTTAATGTAGTTACCTATAACAACTTATTAGCTCTATCTTTTTTCCATCGTCTTTGTCCATTTACCCTTATATATGTGCATATGTGTAGTATTCTTTCTTATATAGAGATCAGAGATTTATTCTGATTAATTTACTTCATTGAACCAAAATTCCATTTAGTATGAGCTAGAAAGATAAAAAGATTTCCAGAGAACCTGAGTAAACTGGCTTTGGCTATCTAGAGATAGGAAATAGAGATAAAACAGAAAATAGGACCAGGAACCTCTGTTTCTACTACTAATGGATTTGTTTTCTGTATTTCCTTTCCGGTAACAAGATACACTTATGGAGAACCTGTTTCAGGCCTGGCAAGTGTGAGTATATGCAGGAAGTTCTCACAGTATTCTGCTTGCTATGGCCAAGAATCAGAGAGTATCTGTGAGGAATTCAGCAAACCGGTAAGTAGAAGATGCTGTTTTTATTAGGAAGTTAACAGGTGTTGATTTAATTCACTAAACAGTTATTAAGTGGCCATAAGTTAGTAGTACAATAGATTTAGAGCTGGAAGGGATTCCAACTATAACTCTTCATTTTATAAATGAGGAAACAGAGGTTGAGAGGAATTATTTGATTCGCCCAGGATCACATAGCTAGTAAGTACCTGAAGCAGGATTTGGACTCAGCTCTTCCTGACTTCAAGTTCAACATTCTAGCCACTGTACCGCCTAGCTTCCCTCAAAGACACTGTGTTAAGTGCTTGGGTTACAAAGACAAAAGTGAAAGTCCATGTCTTCAAGTCTATTGAGTGGATCCAGGTGCTTCATAAATGTTGATTGATTGATTGGATGCAATATGTGAACAAACAATAATGAGTGCAGGAAAAGAGCATAAATAACAGGGTGTGTGTGTGTGTGTAGAAGTCACAGATCTTTGGAGAGAGCAAACTTCATGAAGAAGATAACAGCTGAACTGAGCCTTGACAAAAGATAAAGATTCTGAGAGGTAGTGAGGAGACAGCATTCCAGGCATGGGGGATAGTTTGTGCAAATGTGTGGAGGCAAGAGATAGAATATGGAATTTAGGAAACAACTTGAAGCCTAGTTGGGGAAAAACATAGAGGGCTTGTAGAAGGCTTTAATCTCTGGACTGAGGAGATTGTATTTTGTGTTAGCAACAATAGGGAGCCCCTGTAGACTCTTGAGCAGGAGAGGTCCAGGACCTTAGGAAAGTATTTTGGCAGCTGAATGGAGAATAGATTAAAAAAGGGAGAGACTAAAGTCAAGAAGACCCATGAGTGGACTTTCACTACTCCATATAGGAGAGTATGATGAAAAATCCAGTAAACATCCAAACAGTAGTGAACTTACAGACCTAGGGAGAGGACATTTTTAGCAGCTGGGCTTGCTCAAAATCTCTACGCGAGTAGATTTCTATGATAAATTACAGACCCTGTCAACTAACCATGTCTACTGGTTTCTTCTGCCAGAGATAGAATCCTGGCTTAATTTGACTATTAGTCTGACCCAATTTGACATTTCAAGCATCCTTATCTTCCTTTTATTTTCTTTACTTTCAGCTGGATGGTTTAGGTTGTGCCTCCCAAAAAGTAAAAACTAAGATTTTCCAGTTGAAGAGAAATGAGTTTTTGATGAACCTTAATGTGATTGCCAAGATCACAGAGGAAGGGACAGGTTTGTATATCATACAAATGTGGGACATAATAAGCAATGACTACAAGGTTGGGGAAATTGGATATAACATCCAGATTTCAAAAAAAAGTTCTCTTCCAAGAGAGATCAATTCTTGCTTACTTCTCTTTTAGAAATAGAATTGACTGGAACTGGATCCTGTGAGATCACGGAGGTTGTAAGCAAAGTCTCATTTGTGAATACGGATTTACAATACAGGCATGGAATCCCTTTCTTTGGCCAGGTAGAGTGCCTCCAACACACAGGAGATCTGGATTTGAGCCCCAGCTATTCTACTAACCAATTGCATAACTTTGGGGAAGTTTCTTTCTTTTTTTTTTGGCAACTGGGGTTAAGTGACTTGCCCAGGGTCACACAGCTAGTAAGTGTCAAGTGTTTGGTCTGAGGTGGGATTTGAACTCAGGTCCTCCTGACTTCAGGGCCAGTGCTCTATCCACTGTACCACCTAGCTGCCCCTTTGGGGAAGTTTCTTAATAATCTTTTGGGTCTTGGTTTCCTCGTTTAAAAGTGAGGAGATTGGGCTAGATGATTTCTCATATCCCTTACAACTTCAACATCCTGTTTTGTTTTGTTTTAATTTTTATATCAAAATCACCAAGAAATACTCCCCTGATTCCTTTTCCTTATGACAAAATCTTAACAAAAATTTCAAAGTGTTGCGAACATCAGAGCTTCCTCCCTTCCATTTGCTGCTAACCCAGTTGCTAATATTGATAGCAGCTAGATAGATTTGGTGTAAAGTTCTTCTTTCCAGTTCTGATACTTCCTATATAATGTTTCTCCGTTTGCCAGTTGTGAAGGGTTCAGTAATTGGCATACATTTTCCATAGTCCTGCTTGTCACCACCTTCTATCTAACTCTGGCTTCCCATGGAGATCATAGCGGATAAATGGTTTTAGATTGAGGTAATGGCACATGTCATATTAATTTGAACATAGTTTGATTTTCATGAGCACATTGTTTATGTTGCTCTTGCTAACAAATATATTGTAAATGCATGAAATGGCAAAAAGAGTGTCTTTGAATATTACCAGCTTTTAATTATTATAAGAACTAGCACAACTCAACCAAAGACTTCCATAAAGATTTGTATAATATGGTTTGGGAATGGAGTAATTTTTATTCTAGATACATTAAATGAAAATCACTTAATGTGTTTTAGTTACCTATATTTAGCTGCTTAGGCTGCAAGATTTTACCTATAGACAGCTAGGGTGGAGTAACTGATTCTGAATCAATGCACCAGAATAGATCCAAGGTGTTTGACCTGTGGCAGGAGAGCAAGGGTGAATTTGTGTCTGTCCTGGACACTATGCATAGGACTAATCACAACTTTGATTCCTCAGGTGCTCCTAAAGAATGGGAAGGATGAACCCATCCCAAATGAGATCATCCATATCACTGTGATGGAATCTAACCAATTCACCAGAAATTATACCACTAATGCAAAAGGCCTGGTACAGTTCTCACTGGACACCGATAACTTCACTTCTCCCTCCATCAGTCTCACGGTAAGTAAGAAAGGTGTGCCCCTGTAACCAGTAATGGTGTTAGTCTGATATCTCTTCTAGAGGGGGAAAGAATAGGGATTTGGAGTCTCTCTTTCTCCACACTCCCACCCCCCATCATCTCCTTTTTTTTTTCCATTATCTCCTGAGGCAAGGAAATAACTCATGGTTTGGGATTGAAGTGAGACTAATAAAAGCATGGGACTTTCCCCAGAAACTCAGGGGCTCTACGAAGCTGCAGAAGCCATGGAGAGCTGAGCTGGGAGTGATGACTGATGTGTCCTCTCTATTTTAGTGTTCTCTCCTCTTTTTTGCAAGTTCTCCTTTTAGTACCATCCCACTCCCAAGCAACTGTTGTATTTCGTTGCCTCAGGAGATGATGGGGAAAAGTCTCCAAACCACATAAATCTATGCAGATCCAGGCTATTCTTCCCTCCTCTAGAGATGTCATTGTACTAGCCACCACAGGACCACCAAAATATGAAGAATGATAGGAAGCCTGCCATCTAGAATGGCAAATATTGAATTAGGGATGTTAGTTGATTATCTGCCTGTTTAAAAGATCTCTCATGAGGGAAAGGGGTACTATTTGGGAGGCAGGACTAACCAAACAGCTCTTGGTAAGAGTGGAGTATAGATTTTCAAATAATACCTATTTTGGACAAGCCCTCTAAGGAGACACCCTCTTGCAAAAGATTGAATATTCAAAATTCTAATGTCAACATTCACCTTGTTGAGAGCTAATGTTCCATTGACTAAGCAGTGCAAAGTAACCTAGAGTCAGACGAATCAAGATACCCCTGCTAATGGCCTCTTCTTTTTGTCTCTAGAGTTAAATAGCCCTATATTATATGGTGGCTATAGGAGAAAGGGACTTTTCTCAAATTTTGACTTGGGGGCGCAATATTTCTAGCTATCCAACAACTGGGTGAAAGAATAGTCCTGTTCAGTTTTGTGCTTTGGAAGTTAGTCACAGATAATCCAACACCACCTCTTTCCCTTCTATTTCCTTAGGCCAGATACAAAGAGGGGATGCAATGCTATGGATACATGTGGAGAATAGCCCACCACCAGTCAGCACACCATACTGCAAGGCATGTTTATTCCTCAACTAAGAGCTATGTCTACATTGAACCGGTATTTGACATCTTGACCTGTGGCCAAAGCCAGGCTATCCAGGTGCACTACATCCTGAATGGACAGGCCCTAAAGGAACTGAAGGAGCTCATCTTCTATTATCTGGTGAGAATGGAAACCAGAACTCTGATCAACACACAAAGCTTAGGAATTATCCAACACTTTGAACTTTACCATTTTCCTTTCTTATTCTTGTCCTTTTTTCCCTTTGCCTTGACAATTGGTCCTCAGCAACAGGTGTCAAATGGGAGTTAGATTTAAAATAAAAATGGTAGCAATTAAAGGAAATGTTTTTTCTTTCTACAGATCATGGCCAAGGGACTTATTGTTGGAACAGGGACCCATGTGCTGCCTGTCAAGGCAGGAGACAGTGAGTGTTCCCATTTTGATCTCTTCCAGCCTCTTTGTAACCCTTCACAGCCCTAAGCATGTACATTTTCACACATAAAGAGAGGGTTCCCAACTCCCCTCGTCTCCAAATAGAGGAACTGCAGAAGGAAAAAAAGCCATATGTACCTCAATGCCCCACTTCTTTGCTTTTTCCTTCTTTTCTCTCATTTATTTCTTCTAAGCCGGATACTTTGCTGGAATGATAAATATCCAGTATCTTCAGCTCATTTTGGAACGAAGGTTTTCTGGGTAACGGTGACAGTTTTTGCTTAGAGACGAGAACAAACTATATGTCTTGGCTCTCCCTATGAATAAACCCGGGACAGATATCGTGATTAAAACTGTTGCTTTTTCGATCAGAACTAAATAAGCAAACCTATATGCCAGACCAAGCATCAGTGAATGACTTTGTCAGTTGAGACTGAAATGTCCACCTTCACCCTTCTCCCGTCACCCCTTCTCCCTTCTTTACTCCTGCTTCTGTAGAGATAAAGGACAGTGACAAATGTAAATTTTTAAGCCTCATAAATGGTTGAAGTAGTAACAACTAACACAATAAATAACCATTGTTTTCAATATTTATGATTTTAAATTGAAAACATTTGTTTCTTGCTTCTCTTTGGTAACCTTTCAGATAGTTTAAAACTACAAAAAGTACTTCTATTGTTATCCCTTCCATGTGGTGACTTTCCCCATTGCAGTGTTAATATATAGCAGGTCAGCATAAGAAATTAAATATAATTTTGGGGGGAATTTGAGGAAGCCACAGACAACACAGGAAGGCTAGCAGATGATACAGAAAAAGTTTAGCAACTCAGAAATGCATAAAAATATATGTATATTATTGCATAATATCAACATTTTATCTTTTAATACCATAACAATTCAGACTTCTTCTCTGGTACGAAGGGAAGGCCAAAAAATTTTACAGGGATTTTCCAGATCTTGGGCACCCCTGACCCCCATGATGTCGAAGGGATAGCTGTAGTTTAAAAGTTTTACTTTGTCCCAGATTTAACTGCCTTAGGTTATATAAGAAAGACTAGTTTTAGAACACAATTCTGGATATCCACTATTTCCATTTCTGATTGTAAATTCTTTATTGCCCTGTTCCATTTTTGCTATTTTTTTTTATTTTTTGTTTAGGCAATCAGGGTTAAGTGACTTGCCCAGAATCACACAGCTAGTAAGTGTCAAGTATCTGAGGCCAGATTTGAACTCAGGTCCTCCTGATTCTAAGACCGGAGCTCTATCCACTGCGCCATGTAGCTGCCCCTATTTTTGCTATTCTTCTAGACTTTTCATGTAATATTGCTTACCTGAGAATGATGGTGATCACAGTAATAATGAATAATATTAAGTTTTTGACCCCACAACATGTATTATCATTATTGAATGCCAATTACAACAAGGTTATGATGGATTGGGATTTTAAGTCACTAATGATATTACCTAAGGAAGATAATCTAATCCATGAATCGAGGACTATGCTTAAGAAGACAAGACAAGGGACTTACTTACTAGCTGTGTGACCCTGGGCAAGTCACTTAACCTCAATTGCCTAAACAACAACAACAAAAAAAAAGAAGACAAGAAATACCAAATCCTTCTTTCACCAGTCTCTAAAGAATATGGCCTTTATGGTCATTAATGTTCAGTGACCAGGGCCTCCTTTGTATTAGGTACCCAAATAGCTCATTTTTAGCCCCACTTTTGGACACTTCAGGGGTGGGAAATCTATGACCTCAAGGCCACATGTGACCCAGTAGGGCTTCAAGTGCAACCCTTTGACTGAATCCAAACTTCACATGGCCTTGAGACCTCATGTTTCCCACCCCTTCAGTCTAGACATTATTCCTTGGAAATGTCCCACTTTAACTAGGTAATGTTGTATAATGGATAGAGAGCTGACCTTGGACTCAGGAGGATTTGAGTTTGTCTGGTCTTTGGTAGGCTCTATAAGCCCAGGCAAGGCACAACCTCTCAGGACCCAGCTGATTCTCAAAAACTAAAAATAGCAAAACAGGTAAATCTGCATTAGTCAAACTGCATTGATAAAGGGAGTTGCCTCTTTAGGGATTCTCTTTAACCATAGAATCACAGGTTCAGTCTAATACTCCATCACACACACACACACACACACACACACACACACACACACACACACCCCCTACTCTTCCCCTCAAACTAGAATATCTGGTTGCTTTCCTGGTGGCCCTGGAGAGTACTTGCTTTAAAATTCATTCCAACTAGAAAATAGAACATAGTTAGAAGTAGTGGAAAGCCCCTGATTTTGAGTCTCAGCTCCAACTTATCTTTGTGACTGTAGTCAGGTTTCTTAACCTCTGTAAGTCTTGGTGTCCTCATCTTTTAAAATGGAGTTAATAATACTTGTGCTAGGTCCCTCTCAGACACCACCTACTAAGTTCTGGCGGGGTTGTGACCTGCCGTGGTGAAAGAAGTACCCACACTGATTAAATCATGGTTCCTTGAAAGACTGAAATGCAATCTGAGGTTTCAGTGTAATAATGGATGAAAAGTATTCTTTCCACAGTATGATGCAATAATAATAATAGTTTACATTTATGTAGATTTGTATAGTTTTAGGTATTTGTGTATGCTAATGTGATTCTCATAACAATTCTGGGAATAGACAGAAAAAAATTATCCCCATTTTATGGATGAAAAACTAAGAGAAAGGGTGACTTGCTAAACATCATATGGTAAGTAAATGTTGGAATCCAAACCAGAACCCAGATTTTCTGACTTCAAGTCACTTTCCACTACAGTACTCTGCCTCTAATAACAACATTCTTTCTATTCCACTTTAGGATATTTAAAGTTCAGATTAGGTGGAAAATGCCCATATGACTAGAAGCATGTGGGTCCCCTTCTCTGCAATTAGAGATCTGGATGGATTTCATATATTAACTAGAATGAGCATTAGCTAAACAATGGGCTGGGGCAACTAGGTGGCACAGAGTGCTGGGCCTAGAGTCAGGAAGACATCTTCCTGAGTTCAAATCTGACCTCAGACACTTACTAGCTTGTGTGACCCTGGGCTTGTCACTTAACCCTGTTTGCCTCAGTTTCCTCATCTGTAAAATGAGCTGGAGAAGGAAATGGCAAACCACTCCAGTACCCTTGCCGAGAAAACCCCAAATGGAGTCACGAAAGAGGCAGAGAAGACTGAGAAAACAACTGAACAACAATAAAATGATAGTCTTCCTGATGCCCTAAAGATGAAGACATGCTGTCCAAAGTTGCCGTGCCTCCCACAGTGATCAAGGACAGTCTCTTGACCCCTCCCTAATTATTATTTTTTTACTCTCTTTATTCAACAGTGAAAGGGATATTTTCCATTAGCCTTCCTGTGGACTCAGACATTGCTCCCATTGCCAGAGTTCTCATCTATACCATTTTACAGAATGGGGAGGTTATTGCAGATTCTAAGAAGTTTATCATTGAAAGCTGTTTTGCCAACAAGGTGGGTGATTTATGCTATGGAGTAATAAAAGCATATATGAAAAGTATCCCACTTAACTCTGTATTCACACACGACTTGGGTTCAAGGTGAACTGGAAGGAGAACTGTATGGTTAAAACTCCCATCCAATGCTTAATCTACCAATACACCAAGTGAGAGCCACAAATCAAATAGCAAAGTGTTTAATTGAAGCAATAAATTTTTAAAAAATAGCAAAGTAAAAAATAGAAAAACTATGCATTAGAATTATTCTCCACTCCCATGAATAAGTGGGAGAATTGTAATCTCTCAGAGATTATATAATCATTTATTATTATAATATATGATTATATTATTATACATATATAATTATATTATATATGATATATTTATGTTTTATATAATATATAATATCATATATATCATATGATGTGATATGATAATATATGATTATATAATTATAATCATATAATTTCTCAGAAACTTATGTGTCTATGGAGAATCACCAAATTCCAGAAAAATTTGAACTGAGAAGTGAAGAAGGATTTGGGCTTCAGAGCCATCTGCTTTGCATCGTGACTAGAAATTTCCTCCCCTGCCTGAGTTCTTCAGGTTCTGTCTGATAGCGGCTGTCTGGCCCAATACTGTGACTGACTTCACTTCCCGTGGTTCTTGGAATTCCCTAGCAAAGTTTATTCTGTCTTCTTTCTGCAGTTATCATCTGCTGAAGCTCCACCTTTTTTTTTTTAAATCTTCCCCTCTTAAAACTGCTGTTCTCTACCTCTTAGCCTTGCAGCTTTTTCACTGCCCTCTAATGAAGCTGCTGAGGCCTTGAAGTTGTTGCTGCAACTGCTGTTGCTTCTGTGGAACCATAAAATCATTTGGAGATGCGTGACTTGGAGCTAGTCAACACATTTTCAGCTCAGTTTTTAATCTAACTAGCTGGCACTCAAAAGCACCACTTGGGTAGCTGTGACTTTTTTTCCTCCTGCCTCTTAAAGGAAGGTCTCCAGCCCTTATTTTTCACTGAGTTTGTTTCTGTTCAGTCATTTCAGTTGTGACTGATTCTTTGTGACCTCATTTGGAGTTTTCTTGGCAAATATACTGGAGTGGTTTGTTATTTCCTTCTCCAGATAATTTTACAGATGAGGAAACTAGGGCAAACAGGGTTAAGTGACTTGCCCAGGATCATACAGCTAGTAAGGGTCTGAGATCACATTTGAACTCAGGTCTTCCTGACTCTAGACCTGTTATAGGATCCACTGCTACCTGCCCTTCCTTTTTGAGTTAGGGAGAGGGAATTGTTTTTCCCTTTTCTCTACCTGAGGGTAGAGAATGCAGATCCTGTAGCTGACAATAAATGGGTACATTCCTTTTTATCTATTCTTTCAATTCCCTGCATTCACATGGCTACTTTACACCCCTCTATGTGAATTGCCTTGAATGAATGAATAAATGAAAAAAAGCATTTATTTAGAATTTATAGTGTGCTGAGAACTTACACTGTGTTAAATGCTGGGAATAGACATTTGAAAAATGAGATGACAGTTCCTGCCCTCAAGGAACTTACTTTCTTTTTTTTTCCCAAGCACAATCAGTTTATTAGCCATAGCTGGCAGTTTACCAATAAAATGGGTCCAAGACCACCTTGGTTGGTACAAGGACCCTGCACTGAATTTACTTTTATAGACATAAATAAGAAACATCAGAATGGGAGAACATAATAAATGAGGAACATTAATCCTAAATTGAGGGACATGATATTGATTCTGACAGGGGTTTACACATTCTGATTGGTTGTGGGTATTTTGGGACTTTCCATTGTCACCATAGAAGCCTATCTCTTGTAACTATCTTTGACAGGGATAGGGAATTTTCATGAGAATGGGACACTTTGACAGGTGAACAATACTCAGGGTGTTTTCTGAAAGAGCTTACTTTCTAGTAAGGGAAGGTAATAGGTATAGTTGAACAGGGACTAGGGAAGGGAGTTTTGGTTAGGAAATCAAAGGGATATTGAATTGATAAGATTCTATTACTAGGGCTAGTGCTAGAGGTGGAAAGTAGAGGGAGTTGAGAGGGGAGGGGTGGGAAAACCTATGACAGGCAGTGCAGATGGCAAGTTGGCCTGGTTCTGGGGCCAGCTAGATAGAGAGGGCTAGATAAATTTATACTCACTCAATCACCAATCAAGATGTCTCAGCCCCAGGGTAGGAGTTCCAGTGATGAATAAATTCACTTCGTGGGCGTATAGGATGGTCTGATGTTGAGAATACTTATCCCAGAAAGGAGAAGCAGGGCATTGGTGTCAGGAAAATGGCAACATAGCCTTGGTGCACAATTGGATGGGATAAAGTTCCATCAAACCTCCAAAAGGCATTAGAAACTCTGGGGAAAACTGGCAGACTTCACCATATTCCATCCATAAAAGCCAAACGTATGTTGTCTTTATGCATCGGAACTTAGAGTTGGAAGAGACCTTGGATATCATCTATAAAGCCACACCTGACCTCCTTAAAAATGTTTGTTAAGCCCTTTAAAAGTAAGAGTCACATCATATTTATTCGTGTGTCTCAGCAACCACCACAATGCCTTGTACATGGGATAGTGAATGGATCTGTGATTTCATTGGTAGAGATCTCCCAGGTGAAGAAGCCTTCTTTACCAAAGCAGGTCGACATCTTCTCTACAACTTAAGGTCTTAGGAAGTTGCCAAGAGGACCCTGAGTTCAAGTGACTTGCCCAGGGGTCACACAGCAAATATGTGTTATAGTTAAGACAAAATTCAGGTCTTTCTGACTTCAAGACCAGCTCTCTACCAACTCTCTACCACACTGCTGTGATGCAGTGCATACTCAGTTTGTGGAATTAGCATTTGCCAATGATCATATGGCAAGTTATTAGAAGAGTCAGTATTAGAACTCGGGTCTCAAAAAAAACAAGAACTCAGGTCTCCTCAGTCTATTAATTCTCACCACCTCTCATAATATAACCCAGGTGTTGTGACTCTTCTGCTCCCTTCCTTTATGATAAGTTGTAGGAAGTGTTGGAGGGAAGGCCTTACTTGAATCAAACATATCAAAGAAAAATGCAATGATAGATAATATCACCAGATTGAAAGGACTTTGGGCTATCTTACTTATCTTTATCTTTGTATATCTCCCGGTATATAGCACAGTATCCTGCTCATAGTAGGTATTTAATAAATGCATGATTTGGGGAGCTAGGTGGCGCAGTGGTAGTGGAGCCCTAGAGTCAGGAAGACCTGAGTTCAAATCCGACCTCAGACACTTACTAGATACATGACCCTGGGCAAGTCTTAACTCTGATTGCCTCCAAAAAATAATGCATCACTGTTGATGAAAAATGCTACCACTTCCTGTAGAGAAACTAATGAACTCTGAGTGCACATTGAAGCACATTTTTTCACTTTATGTTTCTTGCTTTTTTTTTCTTTGGCAACATGCCTAATATGGAAATGTTTTGCATGACTTCACAGGTATAATGGATATCATATTGCTTGCCTTCTCAATGAGTAAAGGAGGGGCAGGAGGGAGGGAGAGAATTTGGAACTCAAAGTTTTAAAAAGAATGTTAAAAAATTGTTTAAAGAGTAACCATACAAAAAAATGAATGAGTGTTCAGCATATTAAAAAACAAACAAACTGATTGAGTGGTGGACCAGGGGTGAAGGAGGATCTCTGAGATTTAATTAAAAAGAAGATTCACAGTCATTGATGTTTGTCATATCTTAAAGATGTGAGTTGACTACTATGTATCAGCTATTCAGTGAAGTTGGGTAAAGAGGCTCAAAGAATGCCCAGGATTCTTTCAACCATAGCTAAGCCATGCTGAGTTGTATGTGTTTTGAATGTGAAGAGGACAAGGGAGAAGAGAGACTCCAAGACTAACTTAGTAGGAAATCTGTTCAATTGACCTCTGCCTTTTTCTTTACAGGTGAATTTAAGCTTTTCATCAGCAAAAAGCCTTCCATCCTTGGACACTCGCCTGAAGGTGAAAGCCTCTCCTCAGTCCCTCTGTGCCCTGCGTGCAGTGGATGAGAGCGTCCTTCTCCTGCATCCTGAAGAGGAACTTACCCCTGCCTCTGTAAGTTCTAACTCATCCCTATTATCATAAAGAAGTCATAATTATGTGGCAAGAAACATTTAGCTATTTCTTACTTTAATTGCTCATTCTCAGATTATGGATATAATGCCACATTAAAAGTACAGATAATACCAAATTGATTCAAAACACCTTATGAGAATAAGTTTTACATAACTAAGAATAGACCAAGGAGAGGTAGTATAACATCAAGAGCTGGTCAGGAAGGTAGAAATAGGGAAACTAAGAGGACAGATGGGTTTAGGGGGAAAGACAATGAATGAGTTCTGTTTTGGATATGATGAGTTTGAGATTCTTATGGGACATCGAGATGGAGATGTCAAAAAGGCAGTTGGAGGATGTGAGCTCGAGAGAGATAAAGGGTGGATATGTAGATACGGAAGTCATCCGTATGGTTAAATCCAAGGTTGCTGATGAGAGTTTCACTTTTTCCCTAGCAAAAGAATTATCCTAATGAAGGTTAAGAAAGACCCTGTCCATAATCCATGAGATAGTTACAGAAGTAAAACCTGCCTTTTAGCACAGAGAGTTGTGAGATCTTACAAGAAGGGGCAGCTAAGTGGCACAGGAGTTAAAGTGGTGGGCTTAGAGTCAAAAAGACTCTTCTTCCTGAATTCAAATCTGGCCTCAGACACTTACTAGCTGTGTGATCCTGGGCAAGTCACTTAACCCTATTTGCCTCAGTTTCCTCATCTGTGAAATGACCTGGAGAAGGAAATGGGAAACTAGTATATTTGCCAAGAAAACCCCAAATGGGTTCATACAACTGAACAATAACAAATATCGAAAGGAGAAGACACTTGCCTGAATGGAATTACCATTACCTGGGTAATTCAATTTTGAGTAACAGAAATCCCTGAGAAGATATTGTGCTCTTCCACAAAGGGAAGGGCATCCAAACCCTTTTTGGCAGGTACACATTTAATGGGTTAGAGGCAGCAAAGGGTTGTGAAAAAATAAGTGGAATTTTTAGTGAAATTGAAAATTGAACAAAAGATTTAGATCTGGAAGAGACCTCAGGGATCACCTAGTTCAACCCCCTCATTTTACAGATAAGGAAACTAAGGTCTATATAGGTTAAATGACTTGCCCAAGGTCACACTGGAAGTATCATAGCTAAAATTTAAACCCAGGTTTAGAGGACCCCTGAATCCTACACTCCCCTCCCCCCCAATTAATATTATAATTCAGCTGATAAGCTTGCTTCCTTTTTCACCAAGATCATTGAGACCACTCATTCAAAGTTCCTTCATCTTCCTCTTCAACACCTCAAAACCATTATATGAAAAGAAAAAGAAAAAGAAAAAAAACCATTATACATCCATACTCACCCTATCATTATTTCCTTTTATCTCGGAGTTTAAGGCGGCTTTTACAAACCTTTCCATCCATGAGTTTGATTCTCTTTCTCGTCCTCTTGTGCTTTTGTTGGAAGAGTAGCACTTAAGCTGAACCTTGATGCAAGGAAAGGATTCTGGAAAACAGAGATAAGGAGGGAGTGAATTCCAGCCACAGAGAATGTCCACAAGCCAAAGGTCAAAGAAGCATATGTTGAATTCTGGGAAAATTTAGAATTCCATTTTGGTTGGAATGTACAGTACATAAAGGGGAGTAATATCAAACAAGACTATGAAGGAAGGTTAGAAATAGGTTGTGAGGGCTCTTAAGTACCAGGCTGATGAAGCTGCATTTTATTGAAGAGGTGATAGTAATAGCTAGTACTTATATAGTGCTTTAATTTTTAAAAACACTTTACAAATATTATTTCATTTTATCCTCACAACAACCCTGGGAGATAGATACTATTTTTATCTCCTTTTTACATATAAGGAAAATCATATGTAAAAGGCAGAGGCTAAGTAACTTTACTAGAGTCACACAGCTAGTAAGTGTCTGAGGCTAGATTTGAATTCAAGTCTTCTTGATTCCACATGCAGTACTCTTGTCTATTTTGCCATTTAGCTGCCTCAGGTAACCACTGGAAGATGGGTCAAGCATTGAAGAATTAAGAGACTGGAATCATTTGCAATGTCTTCTTATCAACTTGTTCCTTCTCACTACCTAGAGACATGTTTGGAGCTCTCCTATACTTAAAAAAAAACCCAAAAACTTCCTTTACTATATTAGCCCCTCAAATCCTATCCCTTCCACCCTGATTTGGGATAAAGTCCTAGAAAGATTAATCTATACTCTGCTTTGGTTTCCTCACTTCCCATTCACTTTTCAACTCTTTGTGATCTGGCTTCCAACTCAACATTGTTCTACTGAAACAACTTTACTAAATGTTACCCTTACCCTCTTAATTTCTAAACCAAGTGGCCATGACTTTTGAGTAGCATGTGACACTATTGCCCAATTCATGCTGCTGGGTTCTTTTTCTGATTTTGGTTTCTATGACAGTACTCTTTCCTGGTTCTCCTCCTATCTGTCTGACCTTTATTCAGTTTTCATCACAAGGTTCATCCTCCTCCTTTGATTCCTTAATGTAGATGTCTCCCAAAGCTCTGTTGTCAGCCCTCTTCTCTCCTCTGTTTTCTTTATACTTTCTCTTATTAATCTGCTCTGCTACTACTCATACAATGATCACCATTATGAAGATGATTTCCACATTTATATATCTAGCCCTATCATCTCTTTTGATGAATTTCAGTCCCACATCTCCATCTACCCATAGGATATTGTCACTTTGGTGTCCTTCAAACTCGACTCAGTGTCCAAAAGTAAACTCATCTTCCCTCCTAAAATTTCCCTTCCTCTAAAATTCCTTGTCCTCTCAGTTACAGATGCTCAAAACCTTGGAATCCTCTTTGACTCACACATCCTACTCACTTCTTACACCTAATCAAGTGCTATAGGTTCTAACGTCACACCACCGTTTGCATCTACCCACTTCTCTTGATTCTTTTGCCTCCCATTTATGTTCAATCAATCAACAAATATTTATTAAGTGCCTACCAGAAGATTCTCCCTAAGACACAGATGTTACTATGTCACTGGATGGCTCAGAAATTTCAGTGTTACCTCTATAATCAAATACTACTCAGCCTGGTATTTAAAGGCCCTCCCAGGCTGATTCTAATGTACATTTATAGCCTTATTTTATACAATTCCCTTTCATTCTCTGTACATTCCAACCAAAATTCAACATTTGCATAGAGATGATAATCGAACCCATGGAAACTGATGAGATCACCAAATGAGATAGTGTAGTAAGAGAAGAGAAGATGGCCCTGAACAGATTCATGTTTAGTGGACGTGACTTAGAGGACTATCCAAAGAAGGAGACTTAGAAGGATTTGTCAGACAGGTAAAAGGATTAGGAGAGAGCATTGTTATGAAAACCTAGAGAGGAGAGAGTGTCTAGAAGACAATGATCAACAGTATCAAAGGAAGAGGTCGGGAAGGATGAAGACTAAGACAGATATTAGATTTAGGAATTAAGAGATAATTGGTGACTTTAGAGAGAATAGTTTCAGTTGGATAATAAAGAGGTTGTAAAATACTATGAGAAGAGAGGAAGGAGAAACACTGATTATAGATGCCTTTCTCAAAAATTTAGCCATGAAGGAGAGAAGAAAAATTTGATGATAGCTAGCAAGATTGGTAGAATCAGGTGAGGGTCTTCTAAGCATGGGGAGACTTGGATATGTTTGTATACATTAGGGAAGGAGCCAGCAGATAAAGATAGATTGAAGATATGAAAGAAAGTGGGCTTGATAGTGAAAGCAATCTGCTGGAAAAGATGAGAAGCTGTAGGATTAATGGTGCATATAGAGGGTTGGCCTTGGCAAGAAGAGGGGCTACCTCTTTATCTGAGATAACAGTGAAGGGGGAGAAAGTGGGAGAAGATGTCTATATGATGTGAGATGAAAAAAAGAGAGGAACTCACAATGAATGACCTCAGTTTTTATGTTGAAAAATGAGGCTAGATCTGCAGCTAAAATGGGGATTAAGGTGTCGTGGGACCATTGAGAAGGGATGAAAAGATTTGGAACAGCTGCTCTGGTGAGTGGGATAGTGAATCAGTTGGGGGTGGTATAAATGGACTGCCTTACTTCAAGGAGAGTCCAGTTAAGATTATGTAACATAAATTTGTAGCAGACCCAGTCAGCACAGCTCCTTGATTTTGTTTATCTTCATTCAGTAGCACATGAATAGGAGTAAAGTCACAGGTGGCTGGGAGTAACTCAAGGCTGGGTTTTGGCAAGATTTGATCAGTGATGGGTTAAGGGAGCCAGGGACTTGATTGTAGAGGATAGTGTTGAATTGAACTGGTTCACCTCTTGGTTAACCAAGGAGTCAAGATAGAGAAAGGAGAAAAGTAGAGCAGTGCAGAAGTGATAGTCAAGATAAGAATTTAGGTGTGGACGGATTCAAGGTCAAGGTAAGAACAAAGAATAGAGCGAGGAGTCATAAGACAGAGGGAAAGATGTATTAATAAAACATTATGATCAGAGAAGTTAATTTCAGAATTCATGAAGAATTGAACACTTCAGGGTGATGGCAAAATGAAGAGTATGACCATCTTGGTGTGTAACTAAGGTGAAATGGAGGAGGAGGAATAGACTTCCTCAGTGGAATTCAGTTGAACGCTGAAGGGTTCTTAGTGGAGTGAGGGTCATGGGAATGAAAAGTGGAATGAGGAACTGGGAGATTAGGGTGTTTGAGGGATCTATCTGTATGTATATGTATGTATATATGTGTGTATATATGTGTGTGTATATATATATATATATACATGTATACACTTAATTTTCAAATATGTCACTTCCCTTTTGAGTATGTCAACAAATGTGGAAACATATGAAATACCTGCCAAATACAGAGAATTGTGTTAGGAACTGAGGGGAGATACAAAAATTAGGCTCAGCCTTACGGAGATTTTATTCTAGTAGGAGGATATGGCACTTATTAAATGAAATAAGCCTATGATGAGTGGCAATGGGGGATCCAGATGGAATTTCTGCTTGGAGGCTAATATTGGGTGTGTATTTCCCTTGCATCACAATCCTTTTGGTTGACTCTTCTGGTCTGCCATATCTCAAGCTCCTTTCAGGGCAAGGTAATACAGTTATTAGCTATTATGTGTCTTTCTGTGAATTCATATGAGTGCAGTTGCATCAGTCCAGCTAAATAGTCCCTCTTCCACAGATGAATTTTTCACTAATTGTGTTCCCCCAATAATTCACGATTTGGAAAGCACTGCTGTACTTTACCTAGATGAGGGTTACATGTGTGTTTATGTTCATGAGAAAGGGTGACACATATGGAGGACTTTCTGATTGACAAGTGTTTGAACTATAATTATTCCTTCATTTAATTCACACAAAAATGAAGCAGGTAGAATAATTTTGCTTTTACAGATGGGGAAACTGGGGCTGAGAAAGATTCAGATATTTTCCTAGAACTGTACAGTTTAGTAAGTACTAGCTGTGATTGGATCCCTGGTCCCTCAATTCCAAATCCAGCGATCTTTCTGCTACACAATGCTGCCTCCTACAGTGTTGTGAAAATAGGGCTCGTGTTCTTACTCATGTGACATAAAGGTTATTTGAGGAGGATATGGGTCCCTAAAAATGGCATTGAGAAAATCTATTGTTTTTTTTCCTCCTAAATTATGAGTTCCTTAAGGTCAGGGAGCATTTCATATATATTCATATTCCCCTGTGATGTCTAATACAGGTCCTTGAACATAGTAGGACAAACATTTGGGAAGATCTGTTATTTGGTTGGCTGCTGGGTGACTTCTTTCCTATATATAGTCAAGCTTCTAGCATGTAAATTTGTACCCCTTAGAAGAGTTTTCTGTGGCACTTGGCCCCTGTGGTTTTTAATCCTTGTACTGACACAAGTAGGGGCAACTAGGTAGCACAGTGGATGGAGCACTGAGCTTGGAATCAGGAAGACTCATCTTCCTGAGTTCAAATCTGGCTTCAGTCACGTACTAGCTTTGTGACCCTGGGCATGTCGCTTAACCCTATTGGCCTCAGTTTCCTCATCTGTAAAATGGACTGGAGAAGGAAATGGCAAAGCATCCAGTATTCTTCTAAGAAAACCCCAAATGGGGTCCCGAAGAGTTGGATACAACTGAACCACAACAACAATAATCACACTGACCCAGGTGAGCTTAATGCTGATGAAAGCTTGTAACAAGAATAAGAACAACAGTAACAATAGCATTTATGTAGTGGCTATACTGAGCACTTTACAAATGCTATCACTTTTGATCTACCCTGGCAGGTAGATACTGTTATTATCCCCATTTTGCAGTTGAGGGAACTGAGGCAAATAGAGACTAAACGACTTGCTTGGGGTCACACAGCTAGCTAAGTGTCTGAGGCTGGAACATTCATCAACATAACTGTTGGTTCTCTTGGATCAGTTGGACGAGGAGAGTGGAGACTTGTATCACTTATGTTCCCCCTATAAATTAACAAAGAGAGTAACAAGAAACCCCTTTCTCTTTTCTCTTTCTGATTCCACAGCTATATAAGCAGCTACCTGTGAAAGATCTCACTGGATTCCCTGAGGATCTAAATGTGGAAGGTGAAGATACTGGAGAATGTGTCCTTTTCAATAATATCTTTGTTAATGGAATCATGTATACCCCTGCATTGAATACTGAAGAAGATGATGCTTACAGCTTCCTAAAAGTAAAGTCCGTTTTTCCTATTCACATACTTGGTTATAAATTTCTTGAAGGATAATAGTTATTATGCAAAGATAAAGAGCAAAGTTTAAACTGTCTATTAGAAGTATTCTGACATGTAACCCCATGTCTGGTCCCTATATCATATTGATTTCTTTAGCCTTTCAAAATTATAATTCTGGCCTAATTGAACTGTGTCAGTTCAACCCTTCCTGGTGCTATTTAGGTGGGACTAGAAAGTTTTGCTTCCCCTGGTTAGGGGAGGAAGTACCCCAAAGGGTCTTATCCCCTTGATAATGGTCATTTATTTATTCTAGGCACCTCTCAGCATTTTGAAGGTTTTTTTTCTTCTGTTTACCGAGGTTGAATCCGTTTTTGAATATATTTTTGCAATATCTGGCCTGCTGAGTAACTCTGTCCCTATAGTGTCTAGGGACAATAACCTTCTTAAGTTCCTGGTGATACTTGCACTCTGTTCCCAATTATTCCAGTAGTACAGGGGTAATCACTAGGTTCCTTTAAGGGAACACTGACTTCTGTGTGACTGTGAGGAGTCTGGAAGGAGTTAGGGCTTGGACAGCCTAACTGAGTCATTGGTGGCTCTGTGGCTTATTCACTACTTGGCTTTTGAGCCAGTATTTCCTTACATTTCTGCCTGAGTTACAAAGTTCTGAGGCTCCACCCTTATTAGCAATACAGAAAATAAATACAAGAGAGAAACATCAGCCATAACAGTTACTACCAGAATAAATTTAATGGATGTTAATAATGATTGTAAATTGATGCATTTCCAACTTTATTTCTAGGATATGGGCTTGAAGGTATTTACTAACACACAGGTCCAGAAGCCTCATTTATGCTCGTTTTATCGCCCACCTATTATGGCATATTCACCACACCCAGGTAAAACAACAAATATATTCTTTGTTTTGAATTGAAGAAAATATATGATATATCATGTAAAGCTATTTTTCTAACATTGGTTCAAAAATATGATAGAGAATGATTCTGGATGTGGGCAGGGAAGGTAAATGTTGAGCAAATTTTTCTATTTTGTCATTCTTTCAAGAGTATCAAAGGGTCCTAGTTTTAGAGTTGGAAGGAACCTCAAAGACCATTGAGTCTAAAACCATCACTTTACAGAGGAGAAAACTAGGGCTCTGGGAAGCTAAGTCATTTGTTCTAGGTCATACAGTCCACCAATAATAATGGCTAACATTTACATAGCACTTTGAGATTTTCAAAATGCTTTACAAATATTATCTCATTTGATCCTCATAACAACCCTGGGAAGAAGCTATTATTACCCCCATTTTACAGATGAGGAAACTGAGGCTGAAGTGACTTGCCCAAGGTCACATAGCTAGTGTCTGAGACTGGATTTGTACTCAGGCGCTCCTGATGCCTTATTCAGTATTTTATCCACTGCACCATCTAGTTGCTTATTAAATAACCATTAGTGCGAAGGGAAGTGTGACCTGCAAAGAAGTTTAAAAGACAAGGAAAAGAAAGTAAATGAAGATAAGAACAAGAAAAGGAATGAGACAAAAATCATGTTGCCTGCATTGATTTGACTGGCTATTCATTATTCATTGAATAACCAGCATTTATTAAGGCTTACCTGTACTAGGTATAGTGTGGAATACAAAGTTATAATATGATCCTAGGCAAGGAGGATCTCACGTTAAGATGGCGACACAAGATACACATACTTTAACAAGAAATAAAAACAAATTTAGAAGACTACATGTAGCTCAAATTTTTATTAGTAGAAATAATAATGACTTGAATTGATGTAATGTTTTCTAGTTTATAAAGCCTTGTACTAACAACAACCCTGAAAAGTAAGCAGTGTGTGTATTACTGTTCTCACTTTACAGATGAGAGCCTCAGAGAGGCAAAGGCTAAGTGACTTTCTCATGATCACAAAGCTATGTGTTAGCACCCAAACGAATTCAGCTCTTTTGATTTTAAGTTCATTGCTTTTTTTCCATGGTATCATGTTTCCTAATTATTTATTAAATGCTTTTTATTTGGGGCTTTACACTTTTTTTAATCACCTGAAACATCTATTTTGGCATACCGACTTAACACTTACCCACCTTCCTCATCATGCACTGCCACTGCATTCCAGACTCCTTACTCTACCACTATTGGAGGCTACCTTTTCCTATTTGGAAAAGAATGAGGTGAAAATTACCATCTTCTGCTATTTCTTGAATTATATTCATTTAGTATCATGACTTTCATCATTTCAACTTTAATGAAATTGACTTTGTCCTGTTTGGTTTCAATGGCTTTATGTCACCATGAATGATCATGTAAACATGCAGGATAGAAAAGGGAAGACAATTGCAGAAAATGCCTAAGAAACCACTAAAAATATCTATTTCCCCAATTGCTATGTTCTTTGTTCATCTTAAAAAGTCTATCTCCTCTCTACTACTCTTAGGTTACCATTGGTAGGAAGGTCATAGGGACCTTTTGGGTCACATTTTTTAATGTGACCTAAATCTCCTCATTTTACAGATGAGGAACTGAAAGGAGGTGAAATAACTTTGCCTGAGATCATGAAAGCAATAAGAAGAAGAGCTGGGATTTGAACACAGGTCTTTTGACTCCAGCTCTATGCTTTCCAATATTCCTCCAGGAGGCTGGAGATAAAATGACTCCATTTGTCCTCTCATCATTGACTCATAGGAAATAGAACATAAAACCAGAATTCGTGCTCTAAAGGCTGGATGACCACTTGTTAGGGATGCCATCAAGAGGGTTCTCAGTCAGATATGAATTCAACTAGATTTTCTCTGAGGTCTTTTCCAAGGTGAGATTCTCTACTATTTCCTGGGACCCTAAAGCTTTTTTTCTTCCTTTGGGAATGGACAGGGTAAAACAGCAGCATGTAAGGAGTCATTTATTTAGCAGGCAGAAGCAGACCTAAGAACATAAGACCAAATCCTTTTATCTAATTAGATTGACCCACTTTTTTTCCACCTTCCTATCAATCTCCAGCTATCTGCATATATTTCTCTAGTTTCTGGGCTATCTGTCTCCTTAAGAGAGAGGAGAGAGTTTAATTTATTTAATTTAATTTTTTTTATAATATAGTTAATTATTTAGAAGCAGACACAAACATACAAGTCAAATAAATATCAAGCATAAATACCTAACATAAAATTTATGTAATTAAACTAATATATGATTAGACTTATACAATTAGATGAATTGTATAATTATATCATATAATTATATTTACATAATTAAACTAATTATATAATTAGACTTACTTAGACTGTTTCTACTTGCCACTGAATTCTAGACATCTCCCTACATTTGCCTGGCCATTGGCTCTCTGTGAGATGACTGGTTCCAAGTTCACATTTACTAAAAATGGACTTTATTTTTCACCACCTCTTCTCCTTTTCAAGGTTTCCCTAGTGCCTACATTTTGAGAGAGAGAGAGAGAGAGAGAGAGAAAAGAGAGAATATGAATCTGCCCATGTCAATGACTTCTCCAGGAAGGATAATGATTATATCACAGAATAGTAGAAAGAATTCTAGACATGGAGTCAGAACACTTGGGTTTGAATTCTGGTTGTACCACTTACTACCTATATGTAACCTTGGGGCACTAAACTTTTCTGTGTCACTGTTTCTTTATCTCTAAAATGACAACGTTGGAATAGATGTCTTCTAAAGTCCCTTGTAGCTCCTAATATATGATCCTATAATCTTGTTCTTCCTGCTGTGAGACCCTGGCAATGCTGAGGGATTTCCTGGCAAGAAAATTTGGAGTGATTTCATTCTTTATAGGCTACCCTGGCTTTTTGAAATCTTTCTCACATACTCATTGTCTCTCTATCTCATTTCCCAAATGTTTCACTGTTTTCCCACTATTCCAGACTTTTCTTCACTCTGATCACCCCTCAATAATTCTCCCTACCCACTTATAGCAGATATTATCCCTATTTTATAGAAAAGGAAACTGAGACTTAAGTGACTTGTCTAAGGTTACAAAGCTAGTAAGTTGAATTTGAACTTGGCTGCTTTTGATATCATGTCCAGCACTTTATAGCAGATAGCCTGGTCTCTTCACTAAGAAGTTTGAGAGGGTCAGCCACATGGTACAGTGCATAGAGCAGTGGGCCTGGAGTCAGGAGGACTTGAGTTCAAATCCACCCTCAGACCAGACATTTGACATTAGCTGTGTGACCCCAGGCAAGTCACTTAATCCGTTCGCCTCACTAAAAAAAAAAAAATAGAAAAAAAAAGTTTGAGGCCATCCTTTTTCTTTCCTTACAACTTCTTATCATCATTCACTCTTTCCTCTAAACACATAAAAGGTATACCTATTACTTTACAAGTCTAATCCTTTTACTTGTGACTTTGATCTCCTTGCCTCCCACCTTTTCAAAGACTTTGTACCAGTGGTCTTTCTCTTTCCATTGATTTCTTGCCATCTACCCATATGATCAGGTCTTCCTAATCCCTTAAGGCACCCTCAGTTTACATATGGGTCCTCTCAAATAAGTTATCCAAGATTTACACATGCAAATTAATTGAAGGAGGAAAAAAAAATATAACCCATTGGATGGAGCTGTTTTAGACATCAACCTTTACTTTAATCATCTCAATCCCGTGTTTCAAATTTTTGCCTTTATTATATATGTGTGGCCAGCCTCAAAGTTCTCTGGATTTGAACCACCCCATATACTAAAAAGAGTCTTCTTTTCATTATCCTCCTGTTTTATTCAGCCCGTCTCTATCTTCTCCTTCATTACTAAACTTGAAAAAATTGTCTCTACCTAATTCCTCCATCTTATCACTGTCCACTACCCACAAACCCTAACAACCAAGTTTCTACTCACATTATTCTGTTGAAAATAGTCTCTCAGAACCAATCAACCATCCCCTAATTTCCAGATCCAATGTTCTTTGACCTCTCTTTGGCTTTTGTCATTGTTAACACCCTTTCATTTTCACCTCTCCCACCCTCCATGGATTCTCTCTCCTCTCTTGGATTTAGAGGCACAATACTCTTCTAATCCTCTTTCTACTTCTCTAGCTACTCCTTTCTTAGCCCCCATTCTCTTCCCTGATCCTTAATGTTCCTCTCTACTCTTTTCATCGGCAATCCCATTCACTGTCATGGGTTCCATTACCCCCATTATGCAGAAGACCACCAAATCTATTACCAGTTCTAGCCTCTCCTTTGAGCTCCAGACCTATACCTTTAATAATGATAGTATATTTTCCTCTGGATGTCCCACTGACTCCTCAAATTTAGCATGTCCAAAATCAAGCTTATGTCCTTCCCTCTAAACCTGTTCCTACTTTCTGTCTGTGGCACTATCAAATTCTGTTACCCAGGTTCTCATTTTTGTATTATTTTACACTCCCCTCTCATTTTTCATAGCCAGTCCATAATAAATTCCTGTTTCCCTTGGCTTCAGAGCCTGGGTTGAAGTCCTACCTCTTACACATACCAGCTATGTGACCTTAGACAAATCATTTATCCTATCACTGCTCTAGAAAAGTCTATAAGACCATAACTTGCACAAAAATGCCAAACTGCATTGGTAGAGGAAGTTTCCTTATCTGAGAGTTCTGTATATCAGTTAAATCACAAGTCTACTTCTTGTCCCTAACATTTCTGCAATAGACTGGGTCCAGTTTCCAAGGACCAAGTCTAGCTAAGTGCAGAGGTTTATCACTAGCAGGCTTTTTAATTCATGTTAAATTCTGTGGTCATGACAACCCATAGGAGGAAAAAAAGAAAAATGCAAAATGGCTCAGGTTCAAAAGGTGTAACCCTATTTTGCTTAGAGAGAATGGCAGAAAAGAGGACGTAGGTATTAAGAATCATGCATCATCAAGTTTTCTATAAACTTTCTTTTAATTGTTGAAACGTGAAATGTGAAATCCTTGTCCAATGACCAGGGAATGGACATACTACTAGAGGAGCTGAATCATGTCATTTTTGACATTTTCAATATAAATGAAACCTGAAAAAAGAAGGATTTTAAGCTGAGTGGTTGATTCACAGGTTCTGTGGAGGCAAATAAAGTTGTGTGTCCAAAGGCAACAAAAAGCATAATTTCATGGAATACTTGGTTATTTTGTATTACTGCACTCATGCTAAGTATTTTTTTCTTCCTTTTTTTTTTTTTTTTTTTTTTTGGTGAGGCAATTGGGGTTAAGTAATTGGCCCAGAATCACACAGCTAGTGAGTGTTATGTGTCTGAGACCGGATTTGTACTCAGGTCCTCCTGACTCCAGGGCCAGGGCTCTATCCACTGCGCCACCTAGCTGCCCCACATGCTAAGTATTTCCAAAAAAAGTTCCATGAAAATAAGTATGAGAGATGTGCACACAACTGTTGTAGATAATTAAGAAGTAAAAAAAGCATACTAAGAATTTGTTAAGAACTTTCAAATTAAATTAACATAGACCTTGATACATAATAACTTCAGTCCATGATGGCCAAGAATAAGTCGGAAAATATGGATCAGGAATGAAAGAGGACAAAAACTTGCCTTATTCCTATGCATCATAAATACGTTCTTGGAGAAAAGAATCAGAAGGCATGATACGCAGCAAGCAATAAATAACATCACATCGAAAAATAAACTTGATTACACTTTAGCAGATAGCATATGATTCATTACTGATATGATAGTCATTTGTAAATCATTACTTGGAGACCACAAACTTGTTAGTGCAAAGGTCAAAATGAGTAAAAAGTTAGAAGGATAAAAATAAGAAAAACATATGGTATGCAATTAAAACAATTTCATCCTGACCTATTTAAATGAGTTATTGATGCTAAAAAAAACTAGGATAGGGATGAATAAAAGGGACATAGACATTGATGACAATAATTTCATACAAAACATTAACTATTGTAAAATCAATTACCTTAACAAAGACTCCAAATGAGACCAAAAAGCATTTTAATCAGCAAACACTTGGCTAATGTGGCAAGCAGAGAGATAGGGCAGCCAAAAGTAGCACAGGTTTAGAATATAAACTATTTGTAAGTTCTTACAGAGAAGAAAGGTGGAAAATTATGAATAGTATTACTTTTTTAAAAACCTAGAAAGAAGTTATTGTTCAGTTGTTTCAGTCACATCCAACTCTTCATGACTCCATTTGGGGTTTTCTTGGCAAACATTGATTTGCCATTTCCTTCTCCAGCTCATTTTACAGATGAGGAACTGAAGCAAACGGGGTTAAGTGACTGACTTGCCCAGGGTCACATAGCTAATAAGTGTCTGAGGTCAGATATTAACTTAGGAAGATGATTCTTCCTGACTTTAGGCCCAACACTCAATCCACTGTGTCACCTAGCTGCCCTAGAAAGAAGCAGTGAAAGGCAAAATCAGTTTAATAAGGATTGCCTGGTGTAAGATCTAAGGAAAGTCATCTTGAGGGTGTTTAAGGGTAAAAGTAGAAGGAAGGCAACAAACAGAAGAAAAATAGAAAAGATCTGCAAAATGTTTTGTTGAAAACTCTTTTCACCATCAAGGACAGTGGCATAATCATACTTGTACTCTAACATCACAGATTTGCTTATTAAGGAGGTAGAAATAACATGAAAAAGAACAAAGATGGGAAAAACAAATGTATTGGACAACATAGAAGAGATCTTTCCCGGAAGCAACATGATTGTTAGGGCATTGAGGGATTGATTGACGAGGAATCTGAAGAAGCGAAAAATATCAAAGGTGTGGGGGAAAAAATCTCAGATCTTATTACTGTCCTCCATACCTTCTAAACAGAAGGTGACTGAGAAGCTGTATCTCATCTATATAAAACTTTCCTACTCTAAAATAAGAATAATAAAACTTAGAATTTATAATTATAATATAATAAAACTTTTTCATCTATATCAAATTTTTATCAGAATCATCTTCAGGATGGGGATAATAACAGGGAAAAACAGGCTTCCACATGTAACATTCCATAGTAGAATACCACTTAATCATCCCACTGAAAAGTGTGGAGAATATAAAATTTTTATAAAAAATGAAAAAATTACATTTATTGTTCATTTGCTATTTTAAAAACCATTTAATTTGGTAAAGCATACTGCTTCTTTAATGACTTCTTAGGGCCAGATGATTCCCATACAAAAATCAAAAATACACAAAATTCTTGGAAAGCTATAACAAGAGAGAGATAACCTCATTCAACTATCCTCTGATAATTAACATCAGTCAAGGTATTAAACAGGGAGAAATATGCTTGCCAAAAGTGTTTGCCACTGTCATGGTTAGTCAGTGAGGGCTTCCCTATAGATTATAAAGTTCTCCAAATGTCCTTCAAATTTCAATTCATATGCTACTGCCTCTGTGAAACCTTTACGACTCCACTGATTAGTAAGGTACTTTCCTTTCATTCCCAAATTTAAATCTTGCCTCCAATGTTTGCTGCATGTATGATCTTGGGAAAGTCATTTTACTTCTCTAGGCCTCAGTTTTCTGATCTGTAAAATGAGGGCAGCTACATAGCCTCTAAAGTCTCTCCTCGCTCTATATCTATGGCCCTGGGATCCACTTTGTTTTGTATCTCTTATCACATATATGTATTATATATCACATATAATGAATTTGTATTATAACTATCATGTTGTTTTCCTCTCCTCTTAGTAGGCTCTGAGGTCCTTGAAGAGAGGCACCTTGTATAAATATTGTGTGCTCTACTCTTGTGTTTCACAAGAAAGTATCCATTGTACTTAGTAGGACATAGTCAGCCATTAAATAAGTATTTAGTCAAGAATTTAAAATTTTTATTTTTGTAGCTCCTGCTGCAGGTATAGCAAGACTGGGATCTGCACCAAGATATCACGCAGAGCCTCTAATTTTAGAAGCACAAATAGTCCCAGCTGAAACTGTGAGAATGTATTTCCCTGAGACCTGGATCTGGGACTTGGTACCATCAGAGTAAGTAGTTTCGTTTTTACTATATTTCTTTCAGGTGAAGCACTTGGATTCTTCTAGATTTTCAATTCATTGACAGTTTTCCTCAGTTCCTGGTCTGCTTCAGGACAAATCCAAGCTAAACATTGTACAGGTTCGCTAGTCTACCTGTCTCCAAGATAAGCATTTCTGAATTAATTTGATGCCACATACTCCCAGAAAATAGACACGGGGACCAGAACCGTAACTAGAGAAAGGGGCTGATGTTTAGAGGACTCGTATAGCACGGGGTGTCCAGCAGTGAGGGAAAGCAAAACAAAACCTGTACTTAGTACCTAATTAGCAAGAATAATTAAATAAATAATTAAGGAAGTACCAGATAGTATATTTCATCTCTGCCTCTGGATCCAGCAGCCACATCCCAGGTAAGATATTCCCAGCATCAAGGGCAGGGGATGTCTCTCTAATGAGGAAGTTCTAGTCCTTGCTCAGTTGCGTGTGTTTTTAAAAATCAATTTAAAAGTGTGTTGTTCTTATCCTGGCTTACCAGTTATCCTGGCTTCATTTGTCCCATTAGTCCTGGGTGCAAAATCTACTAGTTATGACTGCTGCCTAATGACCACATCTGATCTAATTTTTACAACTCCCCACAATTCAGGCACTCTGCCATGATTGACAGGCTGAGAGCAAGTATAGAATCAGCCACATCAGGACACCCGAGTATGGTGATAATCTGTAGACATTTCCTTTGGCAGGACCATATTTTCCAGAGAAGAGTTTAAAGATGATCATTAATCACAAAGTTAGGTTTCCAGATGTAAGGACTAGCCAACATGGTCAGAGATAGAGGGGAAGGTGTAAAATTAAATTTCTCTTGTTTTTCTACCTCAAGCCCTGGTTTACCAAACCTAATAATCATTATTTCCTGTTGTCTTCATTGCTCCCTCTCTCTAGTTCATCAGGTGAGGCCGAAATGGTAGTGAAAGTCCCTGATACTATCACTAAATGGAAGGCTGGAGCATTCTGCCTGTCGGAAAACACTGGGTTTGGCCTCTCCCCTCCAGTCTCTCTCATCGCCTTTAAGCCTTTCTTTGTTTCTCTCACTCTACCCTATTCTGTGGTTCGTGGAGAGGCATTCACCCTCAAGGCCACTATCTTCAACTACCTGCCTCACTGCATCGGGGTAAGAGACTCCCCAACACCAAACATCTGTAGGAGGATGTGGAGGAAATGAACAATGGCCTAAACCAATCACCACCTAACCCCAGATCTCAATACTTCTCATTGGAGTGCACATATTGTGATCCTTCTTGCTCCAATGTGGTGGTGCTTATGCGATTCCCAAAATGTTGATAAGTGGCTAAGCATTTGTGATTTTGGCCACCGATTATCCAATCATGAAGGGCATGGATATATTTTGGGAAACTTTCTATGCACCATCAAGTATCTTGACACCAACTCCCCACTTGAAGGCCCTATATTCACAATAACCCAAAAGACATTTTTCTTGAAATAGGAAAACAAAGCATATTCTCTTTTTTTGTTTTGTTTTTTTTTTTGTGAGGCAATTGGGGTTAAATGACATGCCCAGGGTCACACAGCTAGTAAGTGTCAAGTGTCTGGTCTGAGGCTGGATTTGAACTCAGGTTCTCCTAATTCCAGGGCCATTGCTCTATCTGCTGCGCCGCCTAGCTGCCCCCAAAGCATATACTCTTAAATGAGCAAGCATTAAACTCCTATATTAAAGCCCTATATAAATGTATAAATCTCCAGAATCCTCTATAGTCCCAAATAGTTCCTTTAGCTAAGGCCTTCTGATGATGTATTCACTGAATACTCTCTGCCAGTGTCTCTTGGTGTGCTTCTCTCTCTGCCGTTCTCTGTTGACCCTTAATATTGACAGATGACTGTTTTTGTGCCACAGGAAAATCAAAGGAGAAGCTTTAAAGGTTCTCTATCTTTTAGCATAAGCTATAATAAAATCTATATAAAACTATATAAAAAGGCAAAGAGGGAAGTCTTAAGAGTTTTCTTTATGGGCAGCAGTTACCATTCTCCCTCCTCTAGCAATATAGGCCAGACCAGAGATGCCCTTGCCTTTGGGGCTGTCATTTACAGTACTTATAATAATAGCTAGCGTTTATACAATGCTAGCCTTGTGTTTTACAAAGCACATTACATATATCTCATTTTATCCTCAGAACAACCCTGGGAGGTAAGGGCTATTATTATGCCCATTTTACAGAGAGGGAAAGTGAGGTAAATAGCATCTGTCTATCCATCTATCTATCTATCTGTCTGTCTGTCTGTCTACCTATCTATCTATTTATTTCTCTGTTTGTTTTACTAGCTGTGTGAATTGCCCAGAGTCACACAGAGAGTAAGTTTCTGAGGCAGGATTTGAACTCAGGTTCAAACTCAGATTTGAACTCAGCTAACTTTAGATTCTGTGCTTTATCCACCCAGTTGCTCATATGATATCTCCTCAAGTTGCTTCTATTCTCCTAGATAGATTCAGGGGAAAAGAGAAGGAAAAGGCAATCTTAGAATAATTGACACTGGCAAAGAGATGCACTGAGGATATTTTAATAATCATTTTGATGAAGATGCCCAGAGAGATACAAACTTTTGGCAGCTAGATGGCATATTAGGTGGAATGCTGAACTTGGAATCAGAAAGGCCTAGTTTCTTTCTTTTTCCCCCCCAACTTTTATTATTGATTCATTTTTTAAAGTTTTGAGTTCTGAATTCTCTCTTTCCCTCCAACTCCTCCCCCACTCACTGAGAAGGCAAACAATATGATATCCATTATACTTATGAAGTCATGTGAAACATATTTCCTTATTAGGAAGGCCTGATTTCAAATCCTAATTCAGGTATTCACTAGTTATGTGGCCTTATGCAATTCATTTCCTCTCTCTCAGCCTCAGTTTCCTTATCTGTAAAATGGAGATAATTAGGGGACCCACTTCACAGAGTGGTTGTGAGAATCTAATGAGGTAACACATGTAAAGTGCTTTGCAAACCTTAAGGTGCTATGTAAATGTTGTAATTTTTTAAATATTATGTTATTTGTTAAAATCGGATGTTTCACTGTTGTATAGGGAATGTCAAATGAGGGAAATCCCTCCACCAATGCATATCAGTATCTATTCTGCAAGAGTACTGAGAGGGAAGTCTCTTATCTAGGGCCACACACTTAACACCTAATGGCTCACTATACATTATGCCACACTGCCTCTGAAGGTTCAGGTTACAGCTGGTTTCTGAACCACTGACCTTAAACTTCTTTAATTCTAATTTCCTGAAATATCATTTCTCATGTTGTGTGCCACAAATACTAATAATATCAGCCCCAAATTCATGATATCTTAATATGATATTTTATATTTTTCCTGAAACTTAAATTTATCTCAATAAGGGTTTATTATATGCCAGGCACTGTTCCAGGCACTGGGGATACAAATACAAATGGAAAGTAAGACATTCCCCGTCCTCAATACAGAGCTTATATGGAGAACTGATAGATAGATAGATAGATAAATAGACAGACAGACAGATAGATGAACAGACAGACAGACAGATAGCTAGATAGAGAGATAGATAGGTGGATGGATGGATAGACAAACAGATGGATAGGTTGATAGATAGATGGACAGACAGACAGATAGATGGACAGACAGACAAATAGATGGACAGACAGATAGATAGATGGACAGATAGATAGATAGATAGATAGATAGATAGATAGATAGATAGATAGATAGAT